AGCAGCGGCGTATCTAGCCAAAGATCGTAGTTTTCAATTATAGTTTTGTTTCCTTTTTAAACGAAGGTTCGCAACAGCAGAGGTTATATCAATCCTCGGAGTGTTGATATAATTATTGTTTTCCCGAAACGTACCAAAATTTCAAAAAATGGTGTAGAAACCATGGCATAGAAATATAAAACACCATAAATAAAAGAAAAAATTAACCAATTTGCAGAAAAGTTTAAATTTTACAATTCATTCTAAACTACCATTAAATAAACTATCAGCTCAAGTTAAACTACAGAGAGCAGGCAATAATGCGTTCAATGAACAGCAAATAAATTTATTTTTGAGTTTGTCTATCAAAAATGAGGCCGAGAATCAAATAGATTACACGACATTTGAAAAATGGCAAAAAGGAGTGAAAATTCAAAAGATGGGGTTGAGATAGGAAGTTAGTGCCCGAGTGGATCGAGGTCACGATAGCTCAAGTGGCAGAGCAGCGGGGTATTTAGCTCAAGGTCATGGGTTCGAATCCCGCTTGTGACACTGACTTTTTTATCTGAACCAATACCTTAAATACAGTATAATTATATTTATATCAAACACTGATAACCCACTCACACCCTTCAGATTTTCACTTATTCCTCCATTGATCAATCAATCTAATTTTTACAAATCATTTACTCAGACCTCATAATTATTCTTAAAAACACAATTAACTAATAAATTATTGGCATTTTCAAAAATCATGTAAGATCGTGATCAGTGTTTATGTATCATTCTATTTATCTACTTCTATATATCTATCAATTCGTCTATCTTGACAAAGTGTTTATCCTTCTTCTGACCCATTTAATCTATCATTTCGGCATGAATAACACTCTCATTTTAACAATCCTTCATTATCATGTCACTCACACATGATTTACTCACTTAAATAATGGCATATCCTGATTACACAATCAATCAAAATCCGATCATGTCCTATTAAACAATATAACCTTTCCATTGTTTCCCTGCCGTGTTAGGACAGATCTTTTACGAGCACCAATAATTACAACGCACTTTACCTTTTGAAAGCGCTTAAAGATGTAGATATCACCCAACGATAATCAAAAATCCGCTTGATACCAATGAATCTCGTTAAGCAACTCTTACAAGTACAAATTCAGACATTCGATAAATAAGAAATATAAACTACACGCACGTAGGACGCAACATTGCGGGAGAACAACTTTGAAGGAAACACGTTGTACCGAAGAGGAAGACGTCAAACGAGAATTTATCTGCACGACCGTCTCTCTTTGTTCCTGACTCGTTTACAAATTGCCCATTTGACAGAAGACAAATGACGTAATTACCTTCGTCTTATATCTGAAACATGCCAATTTTATGGTTTTATATATTATTCAATATTTTCCTCATGATTTTTAGATGATTCATTGAAGAAAGAACGAAGGGGTTTCTAATGGTCTGGCAATTAAAGGATTAAAGATAAAGAGAAAAATTCATTCTTTCCGCCCACCACTGCCGTCGGGTCGATGGGGATGGTATTAAACAAACATAACATAGTACCTACGTGGAAAGTGATCGATCGGTTTTTACCTGTTTTATTACCTCCCTGACGGTCCGTAAACCGTCTTTATCGCTATCCTTCTTTAGGGCTATGATACATAGCGATTTTAACCGAAGCGTTTACCGAGTCGGCGGGTCATTTATTTCTTGAACCTGAGAGTGGGACATGACAGACGGTGCGGTGCGTATTTGCGTGGCCGTTTTGAAAGCATATTTCCTGGAATGGTTTTGGAGCATTCCATCAGCCGTGCCAGACGTATCTCTTTTGCGTAAAGCCGGGAAGACACTTACCCGATGCTACGCCATGCGACGCTACCCGACGCCTTTCCACGTTTTGGTGGGGTGCGCACATCTATCCGACGCAAGCACACGTTGCGTACAGTCCACAGCGTTTATCACAATAATCACTATCACAATCGCAACGCATCTTTTGTTCTTAATGCACTATTTTGAGCAAAACCTTGTAATAAATTGTTAGTTAAATTTTATGAGCACAACCATCTAATAAATTGTTTCTTAAACTTATTTGTTTTAAACAAACATATTAAATTCACTAGTGTCGTGGTCCGCGTGGACAATTAATATCTTTCAATTAATTAAGCTTTTTAGTTGAGATAAAAAAGTCAGTGTGGGGATTCGAACCCACGATCTTCGGCTAGATACTCAGCTGCTCTACCACTTGACCTATCGTGACTTCGATCAACTCGGACACTAACTTGCCTTCTCAACCCCACCTTTTGAATTTTCCCTCCTTATTTCCAGTTTTGAAAATGGAAATATTAATTGGTCAAGCGGACCACGAAAACTAGTGGAGTTAAATTTGGTGTCAGAAAATCTATTTACATGGCAGAATTGATGAAAAAATTATTTATGAGGAAATTATGCATTGTGTTAATCTTGAATGGCAAAAAAGAGGGAAAATTCAAAAGGTGGGGTTCAGATGGGAAGTTAATGTCCGAGTGGATCGAGGTCACGTTAGCTCAAGTGGTAGAGCAGCGGCGTATCTAGCCGAAGATCTTGGGTTCGAATCCCGCTCGTGACACCAACTTTATCTCGACTAAAAACCTTAATTAATTGAAAGGTTTTAAATAATGTTATTCCTAACTATCATAATTAAATAATGTTTATAAAAACTTACGATTTTTTGATCTCGTTTAATTTGATTTACATTAAAATAACATGTTGTAATTACTATAACGACAAAATTACATGTACTTAGTTTGAAATAAACTACAAAAAATATGAGTGTCCTCTTCTGGTGCTACCCGACATTAGAAAATGGTGTAATTTTACGAGCAAACCGCGAAATAAACTGTTAGTTAAATTTTATGAGCAAAACCGTGTAATAAATTGTTAGTTAAATTCATTATATGAAAAAATGTTATTCTGGTGTTTTGATTCATTTTCTACCAAGTAATTAAAAAAAATTTTAAAATAAAAACTAATAAATTTTTGATCTCGGTTAATTTGGTTTATATTAAAATAAGAATGTTGTAATTAATATAACGGCAAAACTACATTTACATAGTTTGAAATAAATTACAAAAATATGAGTGTCCTTTTCTGACGCTACTCGACGAAAATGGTGAATTGGTATGAGCAAAACCATGAAATAAATTATTAGTTAAATTTTATGAGCAAAACCATGAAACAAATTGTTAGTTAAATTTTATGAGCAAAACCGTGTAATAAATTGTTCCAATTTTAGTATATTACGCCAATAAATTGTTAGTTAAATTCATTATATCAAAAAATCCTATTCCGGTGTTTTGATTAATTTTCTACCAGTTTATATTAATATAAGCATGTTGTAATTATTATAACGACAATAATACATGTAGTTTGCATAAAAATATGAGTGTCCGGTTCTTTTGTCTTCGACTGTACTCGATGCGACCCGACGAAAATCTGGGCAGTGGGGATGGTAGAGCGTCGGGTAGGTTAGCGTGGCATAGCATCGGGTAGACGTGCACGGGGGTAATACAACCTTATGGAAAATCGGAGTTTGGATTTGCGTCGGGTAGCATCGGGTAGCGTCGCATGGCGTAGCATTGGGTGTGTTCCCGGCTTAAAGGAGGAACACCAATGCAACGCTAAGCGACGCAACCCGAAGCCACCCGACGCACAAAGAATGATACACAAATCAGTATCACGTCCATCCGTTAATTATTTAGTTCTTTTTTGTATGATGATTTTGTACAGAGTAGAGTGTGTGAGAGAAAAAGGAAGATAACGATATATATATATGTTTGTATTGATCACTGGCGATAAGTGTCTAAAATCTGCAACAAAAAACTTCCTATAAACCTCTTTCCAAATTTCAACTGTAAAGAAGTAATTTCAGGTTTCGGGTTTTTTTAGACTTTGGTAAACTAAATTGCTTATAAACATGGTCTTTTCGGTCCAAGTTTTGCACCCTCGTAAAATGGTACAATTCTTCCCAACACAGAGTATTACTGTCTATAATCACGCACGTGTACTGGCTTCGGGATCACGATTAACACAATGCATAATTTTTTCATCAATTCTGCCATGTAAATAGGTTTTCTTACACCAAATTTAACTCCACTAGTTTTCGTGGTCCGCTTTCAAAACTGGAAAAAAGGAGGGAAAATTCAAAAGGTGGGGTTGAGATGGGAAGTTAGTGTCCGAGTGGATCGAGGTCACGATAGCTCAAGTGGTAGAGCAGCGGCGTATTTAGCTGAAGATCGTGGGTTCGAATCCCGCTCGTGACACTGACATTTTTATCTCAACTAAAAACCTCAACTAATCGAACCAAATTTAACGTTTTTTCAGGTGGCACAAACTAGATTTTTCTACAATCAGAATTTCTTAATTTTTTAAGCAATTTTATACGAATATAGCAAGAATTATACGAAGTTTTTTGTTGTATATGGTGAGTAAAAACACCTGAAAGTTTCGACATTTATCGCCAGTCATCTATACATATTATATATATATCTTTATCTTTCTTTTTCTTTCACACACTCTACTTTGTACAAATCCATCATACAAAAATGAACTAAATTACAGATGGTTCATGCATCCCGGATCAAGAAAACGTTGGTGAAAGAATAAAATGCTGGAAATTAAAAAGCGTTTAAATTACAATAAAGAAAAAAGTATTAAGTATTACCCATGAATGTTATAACTAACATTATTATATTTAAATGCAAATCACAACCGAATTTGATTTAATTAAACCGATTCCAAACCATCATTACAGTCAGTCCGTTGGTCGAGGGCGTTTCAGTGTCTGTAAATGTCTCAGGAGAGTTGAACCCAACATCAACATAGTTGACAATGTTCCGTCGTGTTTATTGGAAAGCTTCGGACTCCGTATTTCCTTGGGGAAGCTCCATTCTTCCATCAAACCGATATCCATTCTGTCAAACTTCTTTGTAAAATGTTCTGACGTCTTTTTAAAACTCGCGTTACAGGTGTTCTCCTTGGCGAAGGTGTATATGAGCGTCGGAGGGAAACTTTTCTCGGGGAAGCCGATCGAGTACTCTTACATGCCCGACACAGTAATGGAGCACGCGAGAAACGTGACGATCAAGCTGCACCACATGGCTGGGAAATTCTTGAAACTTCAGCTCTACTTCGAACACAGGTGGATGATGATCAGCGAGGTGTCCTTCGATTCCGGTGAGTTTAACATTTGTTTACTAATCATAGAAATATCTCAAGTATTTTATTTTTAAAACATTTTAAATATGTGTCTCTTAGTGACCGGTTGTTTGTACATACAACTTTCACACAAAACTACTATGACACCATAGATGATGCTTTATGCCCTGAAGATGACCCGAATGAAGGTCGAAATGTCGGCAAAAAAATAAAAAAGGTGTTTTTCTAATCTACCACATTCTTGACTGCTCCCCACGGCTTTAACAAATTATAAAACAATTTAAACTTGTTTTAAAATTAACAAAAGAAAATTCGCCCATGTCCAATATTTCGAAACGGGTTTTTTACGTGCTCATGGAAAAAAGGATCAATCTATCTCCCGATTATCAAGAATCATAAATTTTGAACAGTCATCATTTGACATATTTTACTCTCTACAACTTTTATTGCCAGGACTTTTTCAAAAAAGTTACCAGGGAAGTGACAATTCTCGCTTTTTCTTACTTTGACCATTTCGGATGCGGAATACTTCTGCTGTTGATAAGCACTTTCCCCATATCACGGAAATTCAACTTCTTCCCTTTTCATAGGGCACTTTGGCTTCATAGGCTCATGTATGACTAAATCGGATGAGAGAGTGATATGTTTTTTTCCATAAGCACGTAAAAAAGAAATGTTTTTTGCTCAAAATCCGCAAACAACATGAAAACGGTTGAGAATTCGGATAAAGTGGAAGGTGACCAACTGAAAGCTCATTAAACTTTCCTATCGATTTCTAAAGGGATTACTCAAGGACGATTACTTGTTCCATAGCTCAATTTGAAATTTTCGTAAATAGTCCAAAAATCGACATGTTTTGACAATTTTTGGATTTACTGATAAATATCTGAAGCTAGGAAAAACATTTAGAAAAGCGTAAAATGTTCTAAAAAATGAAACGCAGATCTGTGACTTAAAATGCTGAGAAAACATGCATTTTCAAAATTGAACATTTATGCGCGTAAAAACCAGGTGGTCGGTTTTTTTTATGTGCAATATTTGTATGTATATATGTACGTACTACGTACGGACGGACGTATGTATGTATGTACGTATGTATGTATGTATGTACGTATGTATGTATGTATATACGTATGTATGTATGTATGTACGTATGTATGTATGTATATACGTATGTATGTATGTATGTACGTATGTATGTATGTATATACGTATGTATGTATGTATGTACGTATGTATGTATGTATGTACGTATGTATGTATGTATATACGTATGTATGTATGTGTATGTACGTATGTATATACGTATGTATGTATGTACGTATGTATGTATGTATGTATGTATGTATGTATGTATGTATGTATGTATGTATGTATGTATGTATGTATGTATGTATGTACGTATGTATGTATGTATGTATGTATGTATGTATGTATGTATGTATGTATGTATGTATGTATGTATGTATGTATGTATGTATGTATGTATGTATGTACGTATGTATGCATGTATGTACGTATGTATGTACGTTTGTATGTATGTATCCCTATAATTACAATATACATATAAATACAATATACATATAATTAATAATATAAGCTAATAATTAATATATATAATTAATAAAAATAACCAATTTTTTTTTGTAATGTATCCCTAGTATCCAGCTTTTTTTTGGTAGAGTGTAAGTCAGTTTTGTAACTTGTCCAACATGCCATTTCAAAAGGCTGTTATTTTATTTATAAGGGAAGATACTGTTTAATTGCAACGTTTTTTCTTATTCAGGCTCCGTTTACAGTGTTACCTTCGGATAGGTAAGCTCACCGGACCTTATAAGGGGAAGCCCAGTCGGATTAAAATTAAATCAGGAATTGAGATGTGTCTGGCGGCTACGAAAAACGGATCATCGTTTATCTACAAGGGAAACGTCTTAGTAGCAATAGAAACAGGGATCGATTATTTTCTACTTTATGATCTATTAAAATCACTAGTTTTCGTGGTCGTAATTGAGGTGTTTTAGTTGAGATAAAAAAGTCAGTGTCACAAGCGAGATCCGAACCCATGGCCTTGAGCTAAATACGCCGCTGCTCTACCACTTGAGCTATCGTGACTCCGATCCACTCGGACACTAACTTCCCATCTCAACCCCACTTTTGGAATTTTCCCTCCTTTTTGCCATTTTTCAAGTGTCGTATAATCTATTTGATTCTCGGCCACATTTTAGATAGACAAAGACAAAAATATATTTATTTGCTGTTCATTGAACGCATTATTGCCCGCTCTCAGTAGTTTAACGTGAGCTGATAGTTTATTTAATGGTCGTTTAGAATGAATTGTAGAATTTAAACTTTTCTGCAAATTGGTCCATCTTTTTACTTTTATTCATGTTTTTTATAGTAAAACCATTTCTATGCCGTGATTTTTATACGATTTTTTTTAATTTTTGCACATTTCGGGATTTACACTCATCTTCAGAAACAACCAAAAATTCTTTTTATAAAACAACAAAAATTTATTAATTTTTTTATACTTTATATGAATATTTTTATAATATATATTATATATAATATTATACACGGTGTCTTTTTTAATTGGGCCGGCAGAATTTTTCTTGAACCAGTGATGCCATAAAAAAAAGTGTTTAATATTTTTTAGTACAGTTTCATATTTTTACCTTTTTTTAGAGAAAAATTATACAGGGTACCTCAGGTCAGTTCAACTTCAAAATTTCACATCTACCCCATCATTTGCGCTGAAAACAATGGAGCAATCAGGTTTTAAATTGTTAAATAATGACAAAGTTATGGCAAAAAGTTTGAAAAAAAAATTTCATTTGGTATTTATTTCATGTTCGAACTGCCTTCTCCAAACAAGGTAAAAATTTGAAACTGGACTAAAAAGTATTGAACACTTGGTTCAAGAGAAATTCTGCCGGGCCATCATAAAAAGGACACCCTGTATTGTATATTTTATATATTTATTATTCTTTTGTTACCTTATTTTCACCAAGTAAAGTAAAAAGTTAAATACTAATATTCCTTTCCTGATGATGTTTTCAAAAAGGTTTTATTTTTATAGTTGCTGATAATGGATGGAAATCCCCAAAAGTCCAAAAATTTAAAAAATTAGAAGTATAAAACCCAAACGGAATTTTTTTTTAACAATCGATAAATTAATAAAAAACAATATAGTCTTTTATCATATCCATGTCAAAAACAATTATAAAACTTTTAAATAAATGAAAATAATTAATTAAAAACGTACAAAAGAAATAAAGAAAATAAAAATACTAAAATGAAAGCATTCATGTTTTTTTCAACACTGTGACCGCCTTATTTCGTCTTCTTTTATGTAGAAGGATTAACAATTTAAGTATCAAAAATTGAGTCAACCTCTTTTCAGAAAGAAAGGGGATTGAATTAAAAGGACCTTTGAATAGACTGTTCCTTTCTGAGCCTTGAAGAAACAGCCAGGCTTACCATTAACCACATTAACCACCTCAAAAAGCTTGTTTTCAAGCTCGTTGACACGTATATATGTTTCTATAAGAAGAAGAAATTCGCGTTTAATAAACTGGAAAAATTTTAGTTGTGTATTATTTTCCATTTTCTTTTTTTTTATATAACACATTTTTTCTAGGGAAATTCTTTTATTTTCAAAGTTCATAATTATACAATTCTCAACTAAATTTATTTCCATGTATGCTATTACAAAGAGGATATATTTTTCTTGTTTTAATATGAAAATGCTAGATTATTAAAGTAAAAACTTGGATATAATAACGTCTGATTTCGACATTATAAGTAAATAATTTGTTGGAGTCGTGAGGAGCGGTCAAGAACGAGGTAAGAAAAACACTTATTTTTGCCGACGTTCCGAACTTTCTTCGTGTCATCTTCAGGGCATAAAGTGTGGTGGTATTCTAGTGGTATCATATTGGTTTTGAGTGAAATTGTTATTATAAATCAAGTAATTTCTGTTATACTTAAGGGAGTAACGTCTAATACCAAGTTTGATGTAGGGGACGAAGGGTCAAACCTCTTTACAATTTAATTAATTAAGGTTTTTAGTTGAGATAAAAAGTCAGTGTCACGAGCGGGATTCGAACCCACGATCTTCGGCTAGATACGGCGCTGCTCTACCACTTGAGCTATCATGACTTCGATCCACTCGGTCACTAACTTCCCATCTCAACCCCACCTTTTGCATCTTCCCTCCTTTTTGCCATTTTTCAAATGTCGTGTAATATATTTGATTCTCGGCTACAAATGAAATGGCCACGGAGAGCTTTAGTGAAGGTATAGTTCATTTTAATTTATTAAATTCACTAGTTTTCGTGGTCCGCTTGACCAATTAATATCTTTCAATTAATTAAGGTTTTTAGTTGAGATAAAAAGTCAGTGCCACGAGCGGGATTCGAACCCACGACCTTCGGCTAGATACGCCGCTGCTCTACCACTTGAGCTATCGGACCTCGATCCACTTGGACACTAACTTCTCATCTCAACCCCACCTTTCGAATTTTCCCTCCTTTTTGCCATTTTTCATGTATTTACAATAATTCTTTGAGCCTTACTTTCAATTAAAAAGCCATGGGCTGTGCCAGAATTTGAACGCAGGACCGCTAGCATGGTAAATACCGTAATCATTACCTATTTGGCCACTGCGGTCCCCACTTTAATTTTTATTTTTTTATACTCAAAATCACAACTATTAAAAAATAATTCAAAGCATCTAATCAGAGCTTTCACCCTGACCGTTCGAACTTTAAACAATATACTAGAAATTGTACACAATTTTAACTGGATCCGATCCATGTGTAGGTTCTGTTGTTTGTACAAAGCTTTGAGATGAGCCGATGGCGTCTATTTTTGTGCACGGCATCGTAAACCGTAAAGTAAAAGATTACACAGGTGCGAACGGCGGGGAAGCAATCAACTCAACGGAGCGTACGTGCAGGCTTGACAGGCTCCGCACAATAGTATAAACGTGTCCATTAAACGCAAACCAGTATGCA